GTAACGGATGTTAATGATAATGCCCCAGTTTTTAAGGACAGTGTTTATAACTCATACTTGCTCGAGAATAATTCACCCGGCGTTTCTATCCTCAGAATCAGAGCTTATGACCCGGATGAAAATCAGAATGCTCGTATATCTTACATTCTAGAAGAAAATGACATGGGCGGGTCTCCCGTGGGAACGTATGTGTCTGTTAACGCGGAGAGTGGGGTTGTACATGCAGTGCGCTCTTTCGATTATGAACAGATCAAAAACATTAAGATAACTATTAAAGCGCAGGATGGTGGCTCTCCTCCGCTTTGTAGGAACGTAACCGTGAACATTTTCATCCAAGATCAGAATGACAACGCGCCTCAGGTTCTGTACCCGGTCCAGTCAGGTGTTTCTGTGGTGGCTGAAATAGTGCCTCGTTCGGCAGATGTGGGTTATCTGGTGACTAAAGTGGTGGCTGTTGATGTGGACTCTGGTCAGAACGCCTGGCTCTCATATAAACTGCAGAAAGCCACAGACAGGGCGCTGTTTGAAGTGGGCTTACAGAATGGAGAAATAAGAACTGTACGCCAAGTGACAGATAAAGATGCTGTCAAACAAAGACTCACTGTTGTAGTGGAGGACAACGGGCAGCCCTCTCGATCAGCTACAGTCAATGTTAACGTGGCGGTGGCGGACAGCTTCCCTGAAGTGCTCTCGGAGTTCACTGACTTTACGCACGACAAGGAATACAACGACAACCTGACTTTCTATCTAGTATTGGCCTTGGCTGCAGTCTCATTTCTTTTCATAACATGTTTAGTCGTCATAATATCTGTTAAGATCTACAGGTGGAGACAATCACGTATGTATTACAAGTCGAATCTTCCAGTTATCCCGTACTATCCACCGCGTTACGCGGACACTGTTGGCACAAGAACTCTACAGCACGCGTATAATTATGAGGTTTACAGAACGACTGATTCCAGAAGAAGTGACTGTAAATTTGTTAGACCTGCAAGTCAGAACGTGTTGATAGTGGATCCTAATTCTACAGGAACACTGCAGCGCGCGCCCATCGAGAAAAACGTGCTGGATGAATTTGATTCGCCAGTAGAGGTGAGACATTATTATTATTATTATTATTATTATTATTATTATTATTATTATTTTATCGATCTATTTGTCAGGAACCATACACACACACAAACTCACAAGAGAAGAGATGCTTGCACCTAATTTCCATCTGCAGTCCCTGTGAATATTATTAGCCTATTATTATTCACTCAATTAATGTAATATGATAATGTAATACACTGTAAAAAGTCTGCTCTGAAGATTAATTCATACCAAGCAAAGTTTAATTTGCATCTCATGTTAGGAGAAACTGTGACATTTTACTCATTTATCTGTACTTGTCTGTATTGAGGTTTGGCAGCGCTGATGTCGATTTAAATGTATTTTTTTATTTGTCTAACTTTTCTTTTGAAATGTATGCATTCTGTTAATGCTTATTTTGAACTCTAAGGGCCGCTGTTGGTCAGTGAAATGCTTTGTGTGCAATAAGCTTGACTAACAGTAAACCTTGTCCCCACCCAATCATTGCGCGCTGTGAGCCTGTGACGCAGCTCCCCCTCTGTTTCATTCCTTACGGGATTGTGAGAGGGTGACTATCTCTTTCCTTTTCTCTTCCTAACGAATACAAAACGGCTTTTGTAGTCCTACCTTGGAATGTTATTTTATTCAATTGAATACTGGAAATATTATTGGTGAACTTGCTTTCTAATCAGTATGGCTGTTAAGGATTTGTATCGAAATGGATGTGCTCGATGGCCTGTTTTCTTCCGACCGCAGTGGCAAGTATTGTTTTTTATCTCGTGCTACATTCCTTTTGCCATCTCTCAAATCCGGTACTCCATCCCTGAAGAAATGAGTAAAGGCTCTCTTATTGGTAATGTGGCACAGGATCTGGGGCTGGATTTGAAGAGGCTTCGAGCGGGTCGAGCCCGTATCGTGACCGGAGAAAGCACCCAATACGCAGAGCTTAGAACAGACAAAGGAGTTCTAGTCGTGAGTGAGAGAATAGACCGAGAACAGCTATGCGGTGACATCACACCGTGCAGCTTCAGCTTTGAGATCATTCTAGAGAACCCAATTGAACTACATCAGGTAACGGTTGAAATTATAGACGTAAATGATAATTCCCCTGTATTCGACAAAAACAAAATTAATTTTGAAATAAGCGAATCTGCGACTCCTGGTTCACGCTTTGCACTGGAGAGTGCATATGATGCTGATGTAAAATTAAATTCATTGCAAAATTATATTCTCACAAGGAACAATTATTTCGTTTTAAAACAACATTCAAATCCCGACGGAAGTAGGTATGTAGAAATGGTTCTTGATAAAGCCTTAGACCGGGAGGAGCATCCTCATCTATCTCTGAAGCTGATCGCTGTAGATGGCGGAAACCTGCAGAGGTCTGGCTCTGTTAATATAGATGTTACTGTTTTAGATGCGAATGACAATGCACCGGTGTTTAACCAAACTGTTTACATGGCATCTGTGATGGAGAACGCACAGAAAGGCACGTACATTACAACAGTTAACGCCACAGATGCAGATAGTGGATCCAACGGACATATAACTTTTTCCTTCTCTGACCTGAAAGAACAGTCGAGAGATATTTTTAGCATTGATGAAAACACTGGCTTGGTGTCGGTTCTTGGAAATATTGACTTTGAGAAAGACAAACGTTTTGAAATCAGAATTAAAGCGACAGATCAAGGAGGTTTGACGAGTACAAGTAAGCTCGTAATTGAAGTAGTCGATATAAATGATAATTCGCCCGTAATCATCCTAATGTCTCTCTCGAGCCCTTTATCAGAGGATGCGCCCCCAGGTACAACAATTGCAGTGGTTAATATAAAAGATTCTGACTCTGGGAAAAATGGAGAGGTTACGTGCTTCATTAATGAAAATCTCCCGTTTAATTTCAAAACATCCCTCTCTAACTATTATAATTTGATCACAGATGCCTTTCTTGACCGTGAAACTCAATCAGAATATAATATAACAGTAACAGCGACTGATTCAGGTTCACCTGCACTCTCGAGCTCAACGACACTTCGACTTAAGATTTCTGACATCAATGATAACGCGCCAGTTTTTGAACGAAATAGCTATTCAGCAAACCTTCCTGAAAATAACGCAGCAGGGTTTTCCATATGTAGTGTGACGGCGAGAGATTTAGATTGGAATCAAAACGCCAGAGTGTCATATTTTTTAGAAGATACTAGTATTGGTGGAGCGCCGATTTCCTCGTACGTGTCTATAAACTCTGAGAATGGTGTGATACACGCAGTTCGTTCGTTTGATTATGAGCAAATTAAACAGCTTAGTTTCGAAGTAAAAGCGCAGGACGGAGGCTCTCCTCCTCTCAGCAGCAACGCGAGCGTGAAAATAATCATTCAGGATCAGAATGACAACGCGCCTCAGGTTCTGTACCCGGTCCAGTCAGGTGTTTCTGTGGTGGCTGAAATAGTGCCTCGTTCGGCAGATGTGGGTTATCTGGTGACTAAAGTGGTGGCTGTTGATGTGGACTCTGGTCAGAACGCCTGGCTCTCATATAAACTGCAGAAAGCCACAGACAGGGCGCTGTTTGAAGTGGGCTTACAGAACGGAGAAATAAGAACTGTACGCCAAGTGACAGATAAAGATGCTGTCAAACAAAGACTCACTGTTGTAGTGGAGGACAACGGGCAGCCCTCTCGATCAGCTACAGTCAATGTTAACGTGGCGGTGGCGGACAGCTTCCCTGAAGTGCTCTCGGAGTTCACTGACTTTACGCACGACAAGGAATACAACGACAACCTGACTTTCTATCTAGTCTTGGCCTTGGCTGTGGTTTCATTTCTCTTTATCGTGTCTATCATTGCCATACTGTCAGTCAAATGCTACAGATGGAGACGCGAGCGGATGTTTTATAAATCTGGAGCGAATCTTCCAGTTATTCCGTATTATCCGCCTCTTTACGCAGACGTAGGCGGCACAGGAACTTTACAGCACGTGTACAATTATGAGGTTTGCAGAACCACTGACTCCAGAAAGAGTGATCTGAAATACGTCAGACCTTGCAGTGAGAGCATCATTAGTCTGGACACCAGTGGAACACAGACACTCACGCATGTGCAAAGAGAAAATCCGACCAACCATTTCAATGATCAGGTGAGGTTTACTGTATGTCTCTGATAGAGTTAAAATTGTTTGATGTTTTCTGTAAAACACACACTTTTTTAGTACAATGTTAGATAATCATCATGTGATTGTCGTATATAATTTGTATAAAACCCTTGTGTAGAAAATGTGCCTTCGATTCACTGGCCATGGTGCTGAAATGTTGTTAGTCGGAAATGTTCAGTTCCTCTGTGTGACTTTCCGTTTTTCCCCTTAGAATATTATAAATTATTTATTTTCTTTGCATTTAAACTAATTCTGTTGTTAATTATATATGGGAATTTCTATTATTGATTTTTTTCATTGTTTTCTTCTATTTTAAATTGATTTTATCATTGCGGATACATGACAATTTAAAGACAAATCAAGGACAGATTTTTTTTTCTCTGTGATGTTTATTGCTGTCCAAATTTATATTCATTAAGGTAGCATTTTTTCTTGAAATATTTATATTCTATTATAAAACTGTTGCTTTAATTTGACGCTTTTTTAACAAGCAGTAGACGTTTGTATGAAAAATAGAAATAAGAAAAGTATACGTGTATTCACTTGTTTCTGTAGTTCATCAGACTGGACTCATAGTGCCGCTGTTGGTCAATCTGTCAGTTTATAGAGCAGATCTGCTGCAGTTCCTCCCCCATCATCTCCATATTATTAGAGAGAGAGACAGAAGCTGAGAGCGCAGTCTGAAGAGGAGAGAGAAGGAGAATCACGGAGATACTGTATTTATTTAATATATTTTCTCTCTGAATTTACAGACTTTTTCGTTAGCTCTTGTCACTTCTGATATATTCATGATTTCCTCCAGCATTTTGGAATGATTTATTTTCTTTCTGTCTTAATCTTCATCCCGTGATCTTCTGCAAAATGTCGGACAGAACAATGGCGCGGCAAGTACTGCTGTTTATTTGGTTTCTCTCTCTCAGTCCAGCTCTCGGGCAGGTCAGTTACTCCATTCCTGAAGAAATGGCGAAAGGCTCTTTAGTCGGGAACATAGCGCAGGATTTGGGTTTAGATTTAAAGAGACTGAAATCGGGTAAAGCGCGTATTTATACAGGAGACAGCGCTGAATACATCGAGCTGAATAAAGAAAGAGGAGTCCTCCTTATCAAAGAGAGAATAGACCGAGAGGCGCTATGCGGACAGACAACGCCTTGCGCGCTGCATTTACAGATTATTCTGGAAAACCCGATGCAGTTGTACCGCGTTACAGTTGAGGTCACAGATATAAATGACAATGCGCCGATGTTTAGTAAGAGTGAGGTGAGATTTGAAATAAACGAATTGTCTTCAGCAGGAGCCAGATTTCTATTGGACAGGGCTATTGATCATGACGTTGGTCGAAATGGTCTGCAGAGTTATTCTTTAGAACCAACAGATAATTTTGTTTTGAAATTTCAGAATCTCCCTGATGGAAATAAAGCCGTAGAAATGGTTCTTCAAACACCCATAGACCGAGAGAAACAAGACCATATCTCGTTACTTTTAACAGCATTTGATGGAGGCGAGCCCCAGATGTCCGGTACAATGAAGATACTCATTACTGTTTTAGATGCTAATGATAACGCCCCTGTGTGTTCACAATCCGTGTACAAAACCAGCATAGCTGAAAACTCACCAAAAGGCACCGTTTTAACAACAGTTGGTGCTTCTGATGCTGATCAGGGTTCGAATGGTAGAATATCGTTCTCTATTTCAAGTACGGCCGACAAAGCGGCAGATATTTTTGAAATAGACCCCGATGTTGGTGTTGTAAAGCTCACTGGGGGTCTAGATTATGAAATGAGTAAGTATTATCAAATTGATGTTCAAGCACGAGATGACGGTGGTCATACGGATTCATGTAAGATAATTGTTGACGTTATTGATATAAACGATAACAATCCAACTATTAATATTATTTCAAAATCAAGCCAGATATCAGAGGATTCCAAATCTGGCACTGTTCTTGCAATATTAAACATTCAAGACGTAGACTCGAATGAAGGAGGTAGAGTTAATTGTCTCTTAAATGACAATGTTCCATTTGTCATTCAGTCATCGCCCGATGGTTTTTATAGTCTAGTGACAGACAGTGATTTAGATCGAGAGCGAGAGTCTGAGTATAACATCAGTGTGACGTGCGCTGATGAGGGCGTGCCCTCTCTCTCCAGCAGCGTCACTCTCTCTTTACAGATATCAGATGTTAATGATAACGCACCCGTCTTTGAGAAGAGCTCATATGAGGCCTCTGTTCAAGAAAACAACACACCGGGTCTTTCCATATTCACAGTCAGAGCCAGAGACGCAGATTTTCACCAGAATGCCCGTGTGTCTTACATACTGGAGGACTCGTCGGTTAACGGAGTGCCCGTCTCCTCGTTAGTGTCCGTTAGTGCTGATAGTGGAGTCATACATGCAGTGCGATCTTTCGATTACGAGCAGATCAAAGATTTCCAGTTCCGCGTAAAAGCGCAGGACGGAGGCTCTCCTCCTCTCAGCAGCAACGCGAGCGTCAAAATAATCATTCAGGACCAGAATGACAACGCGCCTCAAGTTCTGTACCCGGTCCAGTCAGGTGTTTCTGTGGTGGCTGAAATAGTGCCTCGTTCGGCAGATGTGGGTTATCTGGTGACTAAAGTGGTGGCTGTTGATGTGGACTCTGGTCAGAACGCCTGGCTCTCATATAAACTGCAGAAAGCCACAGACAGGGCGCTGTTTGAAGTGGGCTTACAGAATGGAGAAATAAGAACTGTACGCCAAGTGACAGATAAAGATGCTGTCAAACAAAGACTCACTGTTGTAGTGGAGGACAACGGGCAGCCCTCTCGATCAGCTACAGTCAATGTTAACGTGGCGGTGGCGGACAGCTTCCCTGAAGTGCTCTCGGAGTTCACTGACTTTACCCACGACAAGGAATACAACGACAACCTGACTTTCTATCTAGTCTTGGCCTTGGCTGTGGTTTCATTTCTCTTTATCGTGTCTATCATTGCCATACTGTCAGTCAAATGCTACAGATGGAGACGCGAGCGGATGTTTTATAAATCTGGAGCGAATCTTCCAGTTATTCCGTATTATCCGCCTCTTTACGCAGACGTAGGCGGCACAGGAACTTTACAGCACGTGTACAATTATGAGGTTTGCAGAACCACTGACTCCAGAAAGAGTGATCTGAAATACGTCAGACCTTGCAGTGAGAGCATCATTAGTCTGGACACCAGTGGAACACAGACACTCACGCATGCGGAAAGGGGGAGACTGAACTTTGATGAATGTGATGATCAGGTGAGAATAATTGTAAATTGGTCGTTATTTTTTCATAATTGATGTCTTTATTTTTATTTGAACTGCTGACATAGTCGCTGCTTAGTTTTGCAAATTTAATTGTTTGTGCTAATCTAAGAGATTGATAATTACATAATGTTGTATTTTGATCAAATTTTGCAATTTATATTTTCTGCAGTTAAATCTCCAAAGTAGTCTCGCCATACTTACATCACCTATTTTTACAGCCAATAAATAAAGCCTTTATCATTATTATTATTATTATTATTATATTGTTATTATTATTGTTGTTGTTGTTGTTATTTCTTTAGATACAATAAATGGAAGTAAATTTTAATTTAATTAAAATATGAGACACTGTAGCTGCTATAGTCTAGTGATTCAATGTCCACTTTAAAATTAAACTGCTCTGACACATTCAATTTTGTTATTTACCATTGTAACATTTTCCTTGCACAGCTTTGCTTGTCTTTTTGCTTGACTTTGTCATGAAGTGAGAAACACTAGTCCGCTTCTCTGGCCATGGTCCTGAAATGCATTGAGGCGGCCATTTACCTCATTTATTCTGATGCATCTTTTACCACAGACCATTTTTTTTCTTTCTCAGCAGCTTTTCTTTCCTCCTCTTCGATGTTAAATCGATGTTATACACTTATTTGTTTTCAGATATGTTTTATGCATATTAGATATTTCTCTCTGTCTCTCTGATCAGTGGACACAAGCCTGATCAAAACACTAATTGAACAAGAAATGTTGTATTTGTTTCAGTCTTTTCTTTTCATTTATATTTTTAAAAACTACTACAATCCTTCTGTTTTATAGATATTTGTATTGTGATAGACATTTGCTGGTCTTATACTTCAGATCTTTGTTCAGTACATTGCTTTTCTCAGACATGTCTGACACTGAGATAAAGTGTTAGTAATTTTATATGTTCTGTAGTTCATCAGACTGGACTCATAGTGCCGCTGTTGGTCAATCTGTCAGTTTATAGAGCAGATCTACTGCAGTTCCACCCCCATCATCTCCATATTATTAGAGAGAGAGACAGAAGCTGAGAGCGCAGTCTGAAGAGGAGAGAGAAGGAGAATCACGGAGATACTGTTAATATACTTTTCTTGGATTTACAGACTTTTCTTGTTCTTTTCACTTTGGACATATACATGATCTCCTCCAGCATTTTGGACTGATTTATTTGCTTTCTGTCTTAATCTTCATCCCGTGATCTTCTGCAAAATGTCGGACAGAACAATGGCGCGGCAAGTACTGCTGTTTATTTGGTTTCTCTCTCTCAGTTCAGCTCTCGGGCAGGTCAGTTACTCCATTCCTGAAGAAATGGCGAAAGGCTCTTTAGTCGGGAACATAGCGCAGGATTTGGGTTTAGATTTAAAGAGACTGAAATCGGGTAAAGCGCGTATTTATACAGGAGACAGCGCTGAATACATCGAGCTGAATAAAGAAAGAGGAGTCCTCCTTATCAAAGAGAGAATAGACCGAGAGGCGCTATGCGGACAGACAACGCCTTGCGCGCTTCATTTACAGATTATTCTGGAAAACCCGATGGAATTTTGTAGCGTTACCATTGAAATAGTAGATATTAATGACAATACTCCCAGTTTTGAAAAGGGTAGGATTAATTTCAGAATCAGCGAATCAGCTATTTTGGGGTCAAAATTTACGTTAGAGCCTGCTATAGATTTCGACGTGGGAATAAACGGCCTTCAAAGCTATATGCTAAAACCAACTGATAATTTTAACCTTAAATTTAAAAATCAACCAGGAGATGGGAAAAATGTCGAAATGGTTTTGCAAAAGCCTTTAGACCGTGAAAAACAGCATGATGTAATATTAGTGCTCACAGCTGTTGATGGAGGAGATCCTCAGTTGTCTGGCAGTATAGAGATTCACATTACTGTTTTAGACGCAAACGACAATGCTCCTGTTTTCTCGCAGTCAGTGTATAAAGCGTCTGTAACCGAGAATGAGCCAAAAGACACTATTGTGTCAACAGTGAGCGCAACTGACGCCGACGAGGGTATAAATAGTAAGATAGAGTATTCCATTACTAACATGCAAGATAATGTGCGTCAGTTATTTGACATAAATAAAGATAACGGGCAGGTTACCGTGGTCGGAATAATAGATTTTGAAAAAGCTCGCAATTATGAGATACGCGTTCAAGCAAGTGATCACGGTGGTCTGACTGATTCCTGTAAAATCATAGTTGATGTCATTGATATCAATGATAATACGCCAGTGATCAATATTATGTCCAAAACAAACGTAATAGCAGAAAATGCTATCTCTGACACGGTGGTTATAATGATAAATGTTCAGGATCCTGATTCGGGAGAAAATGGGAAAGTTCAGTGTTCAGTTAATGAAAATATTCCATTTTCACTGAAATCCACCAATAATAATTTCTTCAGTCTAGTGACAGACAGTGATTTAGACCGAGAGCGAGAGTCTGAGTATAACATCAGTGTGACGTGCGCTGATGAGGGCGTGCCCTCTCTCTCCAGCAGCGTCATTCTCTCCTTACAAATATCAGATGTTAATGATAACGCGCCCGTCTTTGAGAAGAGCTCATATGAGGCTTCTGTTCAAGAAAACAACACACCGGGTCTTTCCATATTCACAGTCAGAGCCAGAGACGCAGATTTTCACCAGAATGCCCGTGTGTCTTACATACTGGAGGACTCGTCGGTTAATGGAGTGCCCGTCTCCTCGTTAGTGTCCGTTAGTGCTGATAGTGGAGTCATACATGCAGTGCGATCTTTCGATTACGAGCAGATCAAAGATTTCCAGTTCCGCGTAAAAGCGCAGGACGGAGGCTCTCCTCCTCTCAGCAGCAACGCGAGCGTCAAAATAATCATTCAGGATCAGAATGACAACGCGCCTCAGGTTCTGTACCCGGTCCAGTCAGGTGTTTCTGTGGTGGCTGAAATAGTGCCTCGTTCGGCAGATGTGGGTTATCTGGTGACTAAAGTGGTGGCTGTTGATGTGGACTCTGGTCAGAACGCCTGGCTCTCATATAAACTGCAGAAAGCCACAGACAGGGCGCTGTTTGAAGTGGGCTTACAGAATGGAGAAATAAGAACTGTACGCCAAGTGACAGATAAAGATGCTGTCAAACAAAGACTCACTGTTGTAGTGGAGGACAACGGGCAGCCCTCTCGATCAGCTACAGTCAATGTTAACGTGGCGGTGGCGGACAGCTTCCCTGAAGTGCTCTCGGAGTTCACTGACTTTACGCACGACAAGGAATACAACGACAACCTGACTTTCTATCTAGTCTTGGCCTTGGCTGTGGTTTCATTTCTCTTTATCGTGTCTATCATTGCCATACTGTCAGTCAAATGCTACAGATGGAGACGCGAGCGGATGTTTTATAAATCTGGAGCGAATCTTCCAGTTATTCCGTATTATCCGCCTCTTTACGCAGACGTAGGCGGCACAGGAACTTTACAGCACGTGTACAATTATGAGGTTTGCAGAACCACTGACTCCAGAAAGAGTGATCTGAAATACGTCAGACCTTGCAGTGAGAGCATCATTAGTCTGGACACCAGTGGAACACAGACACTCACGCATGCGCAAAGGGGGAGACTGAACTTTGATGAATGTGATGATCAGGTGAGAATAATTTTGTAACTAATTAATGATATTTTGATGACTTCATTATTGTTTAAACTGTTAACGCATTTGCTAAATAGTTTTCTTAGAATAATCGTCTCTGTTATTTTAATGTATATTTTATTTTATTTTTATCTTATAGTATATTTTGGTCAGCATTTGTGTATATTTTCTACAGTTACATTGCTCAAATTTATTCTTCTTATGGGCCTTGTGTAATCCTTTTAGTCCGAAAAAATATATAGCACACTGTACTATACCTGCCACTGCTTTTGCTTTGGACGAAAACATCTTTTTCTTTTCTTTGTCATGAAGTGAAAACTCCAGTCAGTTTCCCTGACCATGGTCCTGAAAGCCAGTGAGGCGCGGTCACCTCATGTATTCTGTTGCATTTCTTTACAGCAGACCGTCTTTTTGAGATTTTCATCTTTATCGGTCTTTCTCCTCCTTTTGAAAGTTAACTACACTATTTCAGTCGGATCTAGATATGTATTATGCCTATAGTTGTATTTTAGATATCCATCCCTGTCTCTGTTAAAAATATTGCAACCAATGACTCAATTATTGTTTGCTCAGTGTTTTTCTTAATTATTTACACAAACTTATACGATAATTTTATTTTACATATATTCGTATTGTCATGGCCATTCGTTTGGTTTGCTTCATAACTTTTAGTAAATTGCTTTCTCAGACTTGTTTGACATTGAGAATAAAGGTTTAGTAATTTTATATTTTCTGTAGTTCATCAGACTGGACTCATAGTGCCGCTGTTGGTCAATCTGTCAGTTTATAGAGCAGATCTGCTGCAGTTCCACCCCCATCATCTCCATATTATTAGAGAGAGAGACAGAAGCTGAGAGCGCAGTCTGAAGAGGAGAGAGAAGGAGAATCACGGAGATACTGTATTTAATATCCTTCTCTTGGATTTACAGACTTTTCTTGTTCTTTTCACTTTGGACATATACATGATCTCCTCCAGCATTTTGGACTGATTTATTTGCTTTCTGTCTTAATCTTCATCCCGTGATCTTCTGCAAAATGTCGGACAGAACAATGGCGCGGCAAGTACTGCTGTTTATTTGGTTTCTCTCTCTCAGTTCAGCTCTCGGGCAGGTCAGTTACTCCATTCCTGAAGAAATGGCGAAAGGCTCTTTAGTCGGGAACATAGCGCAGGATTTGGGATTAGATTTAAAGAGACTGAAATCGGGTAAAGCGCGTATTTATACAGGAGACAGTGCTGAATACATCGAGCTGAATAAAGAAAGAGGAGTCCTCCTTATCAAAGAGAGAATAGACCGAGAGGCGCTATGCGGACAGACAACGCCTTGCGCGCTGCATTTACAGATTATTCTGGAAAACCCGATGGAATTTTTTAGCGTTACCATCGAAATAGTAGATATTAATGA